GGGGGGGGGGGGGGGGGGGGCAGCCAGTTTTTCTCTCACTGACGTAGCAGTGCTGAAATCTATCAACATAAACACTGACCTGGTGCAGAGTTTCAATTAAATAACATAATGAAGAAGATGATTAATAAGCATCGTCTCAACCCTTGATCAGTACTCGTGGAGGTTTGGTATATGCAAAGACTTAAGCTCTAAAATAAGATGTCCATCATGGAGAAATCGTTACACCCACTCTGACAAAACGAATTTGCCAACATGAAATTAAAACTCACTATCAGTTATTATTGCCGTCCTTAGCTGTCTGGAGCCATTTACTTACAAAAAAAAAATAACATTGAGGAGGACACAGAGAAGAAGATACAATCACCTGCGCTGTTTCCTTTTTTTTATTCATTAAGCGACAAAAACCAGGTGCACTGAGGCTGAATATATAATAGAGCGACTATAGACTCAAAATGTGCTCTTTCTCAGGATACAAGTCAGTTTATTTGTTATATTTTGGTGTAATACTAAATAAGTAATTGAAATAAATATGAGATAAATCCTGTCATTTTGCTACTTGTTGGACCCTAGAGAGTTAATCAAATGGCATGCCCAAATTTATTAGTTAATAGTTTGAGTAGCACAGAAATTATTGTTGTGAACATACTCCCACTCCTGGGAAGAACTGTGTAATCTACAACTTATTATAATGAAAATGGAGAAAGTGTTTCATTGATGCACTTTGAATTAATTGATGAATATTAATTGCTAGTCTAACATGCAGAGCCCTTAAGGCAGGGATGCCATGGTTACGGCCCGCGGGCCGGACCCGGCCCGATTGAACATCACATCCGGCCCGTGGGTTGATATGGGTGAGTTTTATTTTTATTTAAATCTAATGTTTTATTTTTTATTTTAATTTTCGTGGAACCCGTCAGTTGCATAGACTGCCTGGTGTGACTTTGAGCACGGAGCGGGAGACAAACAGCGCAGTGGGCGCCCCTCCCCCCCTCGCGCGCGGACGATATAGACTACCAGTGAAGGACACATCGCCCATCCCTAAGCTTAAATTGCTTGCACAAAACTTTTGATCAGCACTCAGCATTTGTTTATTGTTGTTGTTCATTTAAATAAACTAGCCTACCTATACAGTAGTTATGTCTCGTTGTATTAGTTTGTCCTGGTATTGATGTGATGCGCGTCATTGAATAATGCGCAAATAGATATTCAAATAGTTTGAATATATCTGTTTTTTAGAGGGAATATTCCAACGTCATTTTTGAGCAATTTTGACAGCCCTAGCATGGATAGGACAATGTTACGTTTTCAGAGGGTACTGTGACTTGCTTTAGGCTTCTATGTAATTGTAGGCCTCATTGTGAGGCTATTGTGGTGCCAATGCAATTTCTTTTTGATGTGTAGGCCTTAATGAATAATTTCAAACAGTGATGTTGAGTCAGTGTTTGGTCTTTTCAGTTTGAAAGTGTAATTCGGCCCGCTGAGGTCTCACTTGAAAAAAATCTGGGCCCCTGACCAATTTCACCTTGGCATCCCTGCCTTAAGGCAACGCACCTCAGGTCAGCTGAACATACAAAAATAGGAAGATTTTCAGTCTGACACAGAAAGAATAAAGATTCCAGTTATTTGAGGAAATTCCTGTAGAAACCAAAAACTGCTTATAGCGTCACCATCACTGAATAAACTCTAACCCAAATAAATAATAGAACTTTGTGTATATGTATATCTTCAGGAAAACTTCCTATAAAATTATTAGGAAATTACAGATCTGTAAAATAAAGTAGGGATGAACAATTAAATGAAATAATATCGAAATTGCTATGTGGCCAAGTGCAATATCCAAATCGCAGGAGCTGCGATTTTTTGATAACTGTAAGATGTGTGACAACATAATGCATAATGGTGCTACAGAGATGCCCCTGGCCTACAGATCATATTCTACAGATGTGAGGGAACGTGCTTGTTTTGGTACAGACCCCAGCAAAAACCACATCATCATTTTTTTTCTAGTGAAAATGAAATGCAAAATGTATCATTCCCATTAACATTGTGGCTAATATCAAAATATCTGTCAAAAATAATCATAGTATGATTTTGCACATTGTTCAATAAAACATTCTCATGTAATGTAAAATCGTGTTTAGATAACCTTTATACTAAAAGGAGTAGACTTGTTTCGGCATTGATCCCTTTTTAATGGCCCTGCGCATTTCTTAAAACAGGTATGATCCAGGCTCTGGGAGGTTTTTTCACCTACTTTGTGATTCTGGCTGAAAACGGATTCCTCCCAAAAACCTTGGTGGGCATTCGCGTCAACTGGGACAACAATGGAGTCAATGACCTGGAGGACACCTATGGCCAGCAGTGGGTAAGGAGCGGGGCATGAAGACAAACCCACGCACCCTGTGAATATTTCCACACTCATGCAAGAATAAATACTGTATGTGTGTGTGTGTGTGTGTGTGTGTGTGTGTGTGTGTGTGTGTCAATTCGGCAGACCTACGAGCAGAGGAAGATCGTTGAATTCACCTGCCACACCGCCTTCTTCGCCAGCATCGTGGTTGTCCAGTGGGCTGATCTTATCATCTGCAAGACCAGGAGGAACTCCTTGTTTCAGCAGGGCATGAAGTAAGTGAGGGAGGGAGGGAGGGAGGGAGAGAGGTCAGGGTGGAGAAGGATGTGAAATCAAGGCACGAATCAAAGTATTTAGGAAGGCAGAGAAGAAGAGAGCGTTTCTTTAATTTGTCTGAACCTTGATTGCCTCAGCCTTCTGTCTCTTAATTTGTTCTGATTCTCTGTTCAACAGGAACCGGATCCTGATCTTCGGCCTGTTTGTTGAGACCGCTCTGGCTGCCTTCCTCTCCTACTGCCCGGGAATGGACATTGCCTTGCGCATGTACCCCCTGAAGTACGCTCTGCATATTCATATCTCCACTGAACAGAAAAATAACCTCTTAAAGAGCTAACAGGCTGCCATTAGCCTGTCACTCTCGGCTTTAAATGAAGTCCGTGATCTTCTTAAACACCACGTTGTTATCCGTAATATTCAAAAATGACTGCAATGAATTTAATCATTTGGACCCTGCCTGTGAATCACTGCTGCTCTCTCCATCCCTGCGTCTGTTATACTCTATACTTTTTCTCCTTCCTCTCAGGATCCTGTGGTGGTTCTGCGCCTTCCCATACAGTCTTCTCATCTTCATTTATGATGAGGTCCGTAAATTCATTCTGAGGAGGGCCCCTGGAGGTAAGCAGTTATTAAAAAAGAAAGCAAGATTAAAAGGTTTCAACCTTATTTGTCTTGTTAATAAGCTAGAAAAAAAAAAAAGATTGCCAGGTTGCCAGGGTTGACATCCATATCAAAGGAACCTCATGTGCCATTTTCCACCAAGACTTTTACCCCTCTCAGCCTTCCTACAGTCTTTTAAAAATAAAATCCAAAAAGAGTAGACTGTCCACTCCTTGAAGGACACGCTGATTGACAAAGTCACCACGGCTCTGCTCTGCTGATCTGACCTGAAAGATCCCAGCAAGCATCTGACAGATGGTGACGTGCAGGAGAAGACCAAGTTCAATATCATTTCAAAGTAACACAATTTTTTTTTTTTTCAACGGTTTTCAGCTGAGATCAAAAAAAGCAAAGTACAGGTATCAATTTTACAAAACAATGTTCGTGGCAATTATGGAAAAAGGATATAAGCTTTAATTTTGGTGTAACATTTCAAAATTGGTGCCAGCTGTCATGTTTTTGGGATAAAGTCCGTGATGCAAATTGTGCACTTCACATAATTTCCGGCAGAACAAAGCAGGAACTCGCCTACAAGTCATATTAATCCTACATTTAACCATAAAGGAAGCTTTAGGTCTAACCCCTTAGCAATGTGCTGAACTCTACCAAGCATCCAGCAGAACACAAGCCTCTCAATGCTGAACAATACCTCCACTTCCAAAGCCGCGGCCTCGCCAACACTTGACTGATTACTCTTTGTCTTCCAGGTTTGATTTCTGACAAAATAGCTTGTAAATGCAGTGCTGTCTGGCAGTTCACTCGAGAACTCTGCTTAATAAATGGAGCAGAAAAACACAGCTAATAAACAGGAAAACATCCAGTGGTGAAAATCACACATGCACATCACCGCTGTAATTTAATTTGATCTGATTCTTGGGCCGAGGGCTGCATCCGCACCACATTTCAACCAAAGTCCTTCGATAGTTTTTTTTTTTTTTTTTCTTCTTCTTTTAATATCTTGCTAATAAACAGACAGGGGTGAAAACATAAGCCGCTTCCAACTCTGTTGATGGAAGCATTTAAGAATAAAAACATTTAGTGAGTCTTCTGCTTTTGGCCCGAAGGTAGAAATCTTTAGCAGTTTGCAGCGTGTGAAATGACAAAACATGTAGGCAGGACTCTTTTTGGATTCAGTCAGCGAGTAAACCTGTGTCAAACAGATCCTACCTGTCCAACACCAACAGAAACAGTCGCAAATGACAAGAGAGGAAATTAAAGCAGGCTGATGAAGACACTTGAGCTATGCCCCAAAGATCGTACACATGATATAGACGCACTACAATGGCTCCAAATCTGTTCACTGCCACAGTGTTTCAGCCGATGAGGGGCAAGACATGAGGAGACAAATACAATTTATCGTGACAGTTAATCATTTCTGTTAATCTGTGTGTCACGGGCTGCTGATCAGAGACTCTGAGTTATAAGGGGATTCATTTGGAAATGTACAGAGACAAAGGCAACGAGATGAATACAAATAGAGCAGTACAAAAGGATATTATGAAAACTCCTCGCCTGTCATTTCGCTCTCTGACACTTTCCCTCTCTCTCTCTCCTATTCTGTTTCTCTCTCTCTCGCTCTCTCCTCCAGGTTGGGTGGAGCAGGAGACATATTATTAACATTCAGAAAATGTCAGTTTGAATTGTGTGTCTGTGAGTGTGTATGTGTGTGTGGGTGTATGTGTGTCTGTGTGAGAGGGTAGAACTGTGTGTGTGTGTGTGTGTCTGTCAGTTGTAATATTGCATGGATCAGTTCCCAAATCTGATTATCATAAAAATACTGCTGAAAATACGCTTTTGATTGTGCTTTGAGTTTTTCTTTTTTGTGTGTTTTGCGTGTGTGTGTTTTCTCAGAAAACATTTCCAGCAGAACAATGATAATGTACACTTTTTGTGCCTTACATAAACTGTTACCAAAGTGATGTATCATGGCCTGTTTGGCTATAAAGGAATACCAAATGTTGCTCATCATGTGAAATGTACCAAATAAAAAGTATTCCAACACATCCGTGACCTCTGATTTAGTTATTAGTCATTAGGGCGGCTGTGGTTCAGGAAGTAGAGCGGCTCGTCCACTAATCAGAAGGTCGTGGTTTGATCCCTGGATCCTACAGTCTGTGTGTCACAGTGTCCTTGCATGGGCAAGATACTGAACCCCAAATTGCCTCTGATGGCTGTTCCAGCAGTGTATGAGTGTGTGTACGGTAGAAGCGCTGTATGTATGAATGTGTACGTGAACGGGTGGATGTGGCTTGTAGTGTGAAGCGCTTTGAGTGGTCGATAAGACTAGAAAAACGCTTCTGAGGTGCAGTCCATTTACCATTTAGTCTCATGTTCAGTATAATTCCTTATTGCTATTATTACTCATTATTGCTTTTGAGTCAGTTGAATGTTGGACCTAAAACTGGCAGAAGATACGGAACAACTTGTCAGTTTTATTGTGAAAGGCACCATATGTAACAATAAATGTGTGTTTTCCAAACCACATATTAATTACTGTGACTGAATTTGAAATTTTCACCAATTTCCAATCACATTACTCCCATTTCACCAACCCTTATTTTGACTTTGCATGTAAGTCAATCAGTTCACATGCGCCACACTAAAAGACGCATTAATCAGCTGGGCATATATATCAGTTGATATTAGCTTATAGCATATACATCAGTATCAGCATGGCAGCCAGTAAGTTACAAGAGAGTGGAGAACAAAAATGCCAAAGGTATGACACGTCATTTAGAAACCATATTGCTGTCAGTTTGTTCACCAGAGAGCACTGACATGTTGATTTTTTCAAATGTAAAATGTCCCGCTTAATACATATTGTGAAAAATTTTGGTCAAATATAGATGTTATCAGATTTTTAAACTCTATTATATCAATGTTGGGATCAGCATCAAAAATTCTATGAATGGTCATGTTTTCTCGACCTCCTTATCCATTGTGTTCTGTATGTCCTCTTGTCTTCTAATCACTGCACACTTGCCACCTTACTGTCAAAACAGTCAAGGAAAAAACTGACAGGCATCAAATTTCTGGAATCAGCTCTGTGCTATTTGTTCAAAAACCTTTAAATCAAAAGTCAAAGGTAATTTCAGTACTTTCTAAAAATGAATTAGAAATGTGTTTCATCTCTTATACAACCAACCTAAATATTGTCTACTCTGAGTCCAACATTGTGTGTTTTTTTTTTTTTACTTTACTATAGGAACCCAATACTGGGCTGCTTCTAGGCATCATTAACCTTGCTACCATTTTGTTATCGGTTTGAGTGTGTGTGTGGATGTCTCATGCTATGTGCGTGTGTGACTGTCTTGTCTTTCTGTTGTCTGCATTGTATTTTACCTGAAAATGGTCATGGGTGCTGCTGTATGTTTCTCTATGTTTTCCTATCTCATACATTTACAATACAATACGATACATTTTAAAAACATTCATAGACATTGATGTAATTGTATTATTTTTTTAAAATCTCTATTATATATATATATATATATATATTTGTAAGCTATATTTATTTATTGAGAATTTTTACAGTTTGAGGGGTGGACAGTAGACACATTTCAACAACATGCTCATAAATGTGAATGAGAACAAAGCATGTGAATATCATAGCCTGATCAAAAAAGTTGCTCATATTTTATTCTCTGATCAACAAATTAATCGAATAGTCAACTTGGCTAATGCAATAAATAAAAAAAATAAAAAAATAAAAATACTAATGTTACATTTTACCAACGCAGACATTTATTTTTAATTCCTTGCATTATTCATGTAGAGAGAACAAGTTCCTGTGCTGGCTCACCTTTATGTACGTAATACCGTATTTGCTGGTGTAATATGATGACAAAGACCAAAAAGATCATAAATGTGAATGAGAGAAAAGGAAAGTGGAAATCACACTAACGTCTTCACCTCGCTCTGACCTACTCTGACCTTCTGAGAACAGATTCTCTTCGCTCTGGTCTGGAGATCCAGGCGGAATAACAACATCCGTTACCGTCACTTCCGTTCCACGCCTGTCAAACATGGCGCTGCTTCTAAGGTCAGTACATCTGCGCTACATAACGTTTGGGCTCAGGGGAAGACTTTTGTGTCAAATTTCGGGTTTATCCTATCAATTGACACATTAACAGCATAATGTTGTTACAGCTGCTGACAACGCACCCGAGTGTAGCTTTTTACTTTGGTTCTTATCGTTATGTGTTGGAAATATGGAGGGACGTATCGCTAGCTGACATTAGCTAGCGGCTAGCTGTTGTCGGGTACGTTTGAAAGCTAACAGAGTGGACTTTGGCTCCGATTATGATTAATGACAGACTTAAACGGCTCTGTTTGCTGGCTTTACTCTTTGTGTGGGCGGTGTTTGACACAAACTTAATTCGGCGTTGTTTTCTAGGCATCCTAATAAGGGGGTTTAGCCTGGTTTAGCTTGGAGTTAGCTAATAGTTTGTGTGGCTGCACTGTGGTGCCCTTACGAACAGAATATTGACCATCTGGAAAGTGAAATGATTGTTGAACTTTGTCCGCTTCATCCACCTCAGGTGGATGTTAAAGATAAGTACAGTATCCATTAAGCTTATCAAATAAATGTTTAACACCGCCCCGAGGAGGTTTGTTTATTCCTCCTTTCGCAAGATAGAGATTTAGTTCAACTCCCTCTTCTGTTATCTTCTCCTTGATCAAATTGACTTGGTTTGCCTGTATTGCTCAGACCTGGCGTGGACACTGTAGTTCTCTCTCTCCCTCTTTCTCTCTCTTTCTCTTTCTCTTTCTCTCTATTGTTTACACAGTACTGTGCAAAAGTTTTAAGCTAAAAGTAAAGTGAAGATGCTTTCAAAATAGCATACTAAGTGGAGTAAACAGAAGAATAACTAAATCGAATCAATGTATGTTCATGTATATTCCCCATGATCTGTATATATGTTTTGGTATTTTAAACATATCTTCACTGAATATTGGGGATGAATGCTACAATTTAGCTGTAATTCACATCTTTTAATGCTATTCATATTTTTGATGATATTTATATATATTTTATTCTGCCGTTAGTCACTTACTCATATTGTTTTTCCTTTGGTACTTGCTTCTGTGCGCTACTCTTAGTGTTGTACTGTACATGTGTAGGATCAATAAAGTACCTACCAAGGCTTGAACTCCCCCCGTTCCTCCTGTGAGCAAAATGACTTGAATCAGTCGCCCAGTGAGTGAGTGTATCCCTGCAAAAACGAATAATGTGTGCAGGGATACGCTCACTGACTGAGTGAGTGATTGAAGTCATTGATTCGTTTGTGCAGCGATACACTCATTCTCACAGTCAGTGAGTGTATCCCAGAATTCCTGTCGGGGTCATGTCGTGCTCGGTTGCCACTCTCTCGGACTTGGCTGGGGTTCAGGCAGCACTCCTTCTTCTTGTCACCGAGGATAATTTATTGTGGCTGTATGTTGGGTTTGTTTTAATGCTGCAGAAAAAACTTGGGATTTGACCCCTCACTGATAGTATTGTGTGATGGAAAGAAGTGCCTAAAACTTTCTAACAGTACTGTATATCTGTTTAGTGCATCATCAGAGCAGTAAGTTGAAGGGGTGTTTTAGAAATCAGGTTGTAAGACATATGTCATAGCAATAGCACTCTGTGTTAACAGCATCATTTATATCATTTATGTAATTTCTCATAGTATAAAAATCAATATGGATTCAGTAATAGATTGAGTACTGAAATATTCTCACCCCTTTTTTTATATTCTTCTGTGATATTTGTGTCACTGATGATGCATCAAAACGATAGGTGCCTGAAATAAGTTTTCTGCTGAACAACATCTTGTCTCACTTATTACTTATCTTTCTTTTTTATTGTTTAAGTATTTGCCATTCTCATATATTTTGTTTACTCAAACGGTTTATGGAACAGTCCTATTATTAAAAATTCTCCATAAGCAAACTTGATGTGTACTAGATTCTGTGTATTTGTATTAGTGATTCTTAATTTCAACACTTCTTTTTTGTCTTTTGTCTTTAGGACATTTGCCCGTCAGGGTGTCTGTCTCTCCAGACCACAGTTCAGCGTGCTCTACAGACAGTGAGTTGTGTGTGTGTGTGTGTTTCTGAGAGAGAGAGAGAGAGAACAAGAGCAAGAACTCTGTTTTCACATACAAATGCTGCTACCACTCATTGTAATGATGCAGATACACAAATGCCAACTGTCTCTGTCTCCACTACAGTGCTGCTCCCATGGGAACCACAGCTAAGGATGAGATGAACAAGTTTTGGGCCAAAAATGCCAGATTAGACCGGCCCATGTCTCCCCATATCACCATCTACAAGTATGCGCTGTACCCCACATACAGTACAGAGTGTAGCCTGTTTTCAGAAAATAAACTCAAGCACAGATCTTCAAGTGAAACCATATGCTCCATTTATATTTTACAATTTCCACTTCATATTTTCAAAGACATTATTATTACTTGGTCTATTGCAGCACATTATCCAAGTTGAAGATGATATTACTGTTAAAGCCAATTTTCAGATCATGCAGTAATTTCATTCTTATAGTGCTTATAAAACAGCAGGAGAAGCCACCATCACCAGAAATGTCCATGCCTTTGGATACATGTGGTGCAATAAGAACCTTGTACCTTTTTTACTCAGTATGTCTACATTGCAATTTCTCAGCAGGTTTCCTTCCTGGCTATTTTTTTTCACTTATCATTTCTCTGTCATCCGGGATCATTTTTATGGTTAATCTCCCTGGCATTTACAATCCCAACCATTGGCTATTTATATCTACTGATTTAAATCATACCTTTTTAAGTTACTCTGTCTAAGAGCATTATCTTAATTTCCAACTGTACATGCAGACATTGAAACCTGTTAAAGTGTCAACTGTGATTTACTTGTATTTGCAAGTTGAAAAAAATACCTCCTGTGCAGTGCTCACGGCTTTGCCTTTGAGTTTGTGTTGCTGCTTTTAAGTTGAAAAATAGAGGTGTCTTTTTTTTCTGTATTACATTGCAGTGATGTGACGTGTCAGTGGCAGCCTAACCTGACACCAAAGTTTTTAAAATTCAGGTTCAAGTTATTGATAGTTGAGTAGTAGAGTTTTCAGTGAGCTACGTATACAGGTATATGCCATTATAGTAAATGTGCTGCATTTCCTTTGTGTTTCAGATGGTCCGTCCCCATGATGATGTCCATCACACACAGAGGAACAGGCGTGGGGCTCAGTGGAGGTAACACATCTCAATGAATAAACCTCCGTTTTCCTTCAGTAGTTAGTTTTGTCTTTAAACTACTCACTACTCATGTCATATACATAAAAAGTTTGTTGTTTTGTTGTTTCCATGTTCTTTTGTTGTTTTTGTCATTGTGTTTTATTACATTGAAGTGAAGCTGTGCTACTGCTGCTGTCAGCTTTTGATTGACCCTGAAAATCTCCTCAGGGCATTTTAGTCCATCACTATTGAATTCTGCTAAGAGCATTTACTGGCATTATAAAACACAAGTTGTTCAATACAATTGCATGTGAAAGTTAAATATAACGCTGGACTGCTAACAGCTTTTAGTCATCTGCCTGGTCTAAAGGTTGATCCTGCTGACTGACATTGTACATCAGTACCGTTGACCTTGATGTACCATGCTGGGTTCAATTTTGTTCCTGTGTTAATGTGTTCAATGAGGGTCGGTGTCCTCAACTGCCAGTCTAACATTGCATACTGAGACATAAACAGTCCCTGACTGAGTGTCAACTCGCTATGAAAATATCACACACGCTTAAACACAGTGTCTGGGCCGGTAAACTTCTTTTACTTGTATATATTTAAATGCATATAGAATCAAAAACTAAAGTTTAATTTTAAAGGTTGCCCATTCACATATGCAATGGTCTGCTTTTGTGTATCCATACCTTTTGTGTTTATATGAATTTTATAAATTATAAAATGTTTCTACTACCATTAGGGTTTTTTTTAATCATCCATGCAGCACAGAAACAGAAACTAATACACTGCTGTTAACTGCAGTAGCAGGCAGCCAAAGTGGAGCCTCTTTAATAAAGACCATTGTTGGGCTTCAGTTTCATTTGCCTCCTGTAGGAAAGACTGATGGTCCAGCAGGGGAAAAGTCTGTTAACAGGCAAGACTCGTATAACTCAGGAGTTTGGTCGGATTATACTAGCATGTTGGTGATGCATGCTCGATGCGTTTATTTCATGTTGAAATGCATGAATATCAAATCTTTCTTTAACACAGCCCATCACACACACACAAACCTTGTCCAGTTTCCGTTCTTATTGCTTTTGTCTGTGTCCAGCTATCTCTGCTTTTGCGCTGGCAGCACTGGTATTACCGGGAAATTACCCATACTACCTGGACTTGATCCACTCGCTGTCTGTCGGCCCCTTTCTCATTGGGTTGGCCAAGTTCGGCATCTCCTTTCCCGTATCTTTCCACACCTATAACGGCATCCGCCACTTGGTAAGACTTCATAATTTCATTCATAGACCTAACAAATGTTTGTCTTTTTTCTCTCCATACTAAAGTATAATTGAGAATTGTTTGGTAATTTTTTTGCCATAACCATGTTTGATGTGGACTTAAGCTGCTGAAAAGACACAGATCTCTGTGCAATTTGTTTCTCATTTTTGTCATGTTTGCTTATTTTACAGTTTTAATGGAAAATGCATTACATTTGCTGCCATTTATAAACTGACGATGTCTTTCCTGCTAAATTGTCTTCCCTCTTCTCTCTTTTTTCATTTGTATATTATTATTTAAATCAGTGGTGGGACATTGGAAAGGGCTTCAAAATCCCAGAGGTCTACCGCACCGGCTACACAGTTATTGGTCTGTCCATCATCACCTCCATAGCCGTGGCTTTCCTCTGAGGCGCAGGAGGACACGAGATGAGCAGAGAGGAGGGAGTTGAAGGGAACGTGGACTGTGGGAGTTTTGTGTATATGTTCTGTTCTGGCCTACTGCAGGCCCCATTTCATCAAAGTATTAAATAAAGAATTATATTATGCTGTCCGCAGAAAATGTGTTGTGATGTTTTATCCCCTTGGAATTAATTATACTCTGGAAAGCTTTGGGGTCATCGAATGCAGCAAGAGTGCAAAGTGCATGCAAATGTGACCTAGTTTATTTCACACTTGTTCTCGGTGTGAACAACCACCAGTGGCCAAAATTAGATGTGTCCTACATGTTTTGTCCTTATGTAATTTGTTTAATAGTGCTCTGACGTCAAATTCATTAATCACTACTTTGCTCTGAGTGCTCAGTCACTGCTAGCCCAACCAGTGTGTCTGCCTGTTGTCTTTGTGCACAGGAGTGTATGTTTGTGTTGCTGGAGTGGCTGTTTACTGTAGACTGTCATTCATATTTTACCTTCTCCCGGCCGCAGCTGCTCAGATGCATTTTTAACATCATGAAAAAGAAGGGCTGAAATGCAGAGAGGCAGCCCAGTGGTGGAAGCTGTGTATGTGAACAGGCTCCTCACCGGCAGCCTGCCTCAGGCCTTACCTCCCACTGAGACGCGCAGGAGCTACACACTGCACATGAACAGCTTTTGTCCTGCAGTGTGAATAAAAGCAAGCCGTGATGTAATGTCAGATCCAACTCCGTTTATGTAGGATACAGTAACAAGAGCATGCAGGGAAAAAAAAAAAAAGTAAATGTTCTAGGGAGGAGGCTGAACCCAAACTGTTTTGTACCAGCTGGTTTAAAATGTTTCTGTTTCAATCACCTGTAAGTGCGCTGAGAGAATCAACACAAATGTGTAGTCTAGTTAGCTTCAACAAAATTGGCTTATCAGTTTGCTTCCGTCGGCTTGAAAGGAAAATGCTTGTCAGCTCGCGTTTGTTTTCAATTTGCTGTTGAGGAAACGTATATGTGAGCCACACATATGATCAAACGTATTCCTTATAAAGGACACAGCAAACTGTCTACCATAGCTGACAGTTTTCATAAAACACAACAGTTGATTGAATGCTTTTGACTGTGTTTTATTCCCCTCAGAGCCACATCAGGCCATTACTGGACAGGCATCTCTATATTTAACAGTTGCCGGCTCAAAGTAATTGTCATTGTAAAATCAGCACTTGCAAAATTGCTTTCTGAATGTGACTTTTTGTCTGATTGCAGTGAATTTGGCATCTAGTTGATTCCCTGCATTGAGCCTAATCCATGCTACAGGCACATTCCCACCTGAGCTAGAGATCTATAAGCCTGCAATTTTCCATTGTGACTGACAGGAAAATTGCTCAAACTCTGCAAGGTATAAGTCGGGATTTGCTTATAGTCTTTTCACACCAAATCTGTAGAAATATATTCTATTTTTAGAGTAAAACATAAACTCTGGTAATAAAAAAAAAACATGGGCTGTTCGCTGGAGCTTATTCCCTGCCAGGAATGAACACTTTGCTTTGCTTCAAAGTTAATGTAAGATGTTCCATCTTTTGGTTTTGCTCCGATAATATCGCCATTATGATGTTTTGACGAGATAACCTGCATGAAAGCAGTGGGGGTGGAGAATAGGGGCCCCCGCCATCTCTGAGGCACAAAGAGACTAATGATTACGCGGCGGCAGCACCCCCTACCGGGCGGCAAATTATTATCCACAGGGCTGTGGTCCTGATGCTGAGGGATGGCGAGGATGCTGCGCAGGGCAGGGAGGGGGAGTATAAACCCGCTTTTGATCGAAAAAAATGTGCCTCAGTCTCTGTGGCGCAATGGAATAGCGCGCTGGACTTCTAATCCAGAGGCTCCGGGTTCGAGTCCCGGCAGAGATGTTAATCAAAGGGTTGTGGCTTTTTGGATGAGAGGAAACCGAGTGATGGATAAAAGCATACACGTTGTTTTATGGCTTTTGCTGGTAGGATGTATCTTAAAAGGCTGCTCTGTCTGCAGATACGATGGATGAATATATATATATATATATATATATATATATATATAGAAAGAGAGAGGGAGATAGATAGATAGATAGATAGATAGATAGATAGATAGATAGATAGATAGATGTGCTTTTTTAGTAGAGGCCCAGTAACACAGTGCATCTGGACTGAATTGTCATAGAAATTTCAAATGGAAGAGCCTTTTCAGCGCGCAAAGGTCAGCGCTTTAATATGCAGATTTCAAACGGGCAAAAAGCCTGAAACCACAGCTCCGGTGTAGCAGCACAGCACGGGCTTCGTTACCAGCCAATTACTGTCCAGGCTGCGAGCTCAGGCTCTGGTCTTACACGGTCATCACGTAGGCACCGCAGGACAACACAGCACCGCGCAGCCTCGTCCTGTGAAAGTCAGTGGACACGCGAGCACGCTCCCTCGCACGCTCGCGCATGCACGGTCTCAGCACCAGGGGCTGTCCACTCATTTAAACCAGTGCAAAAAAAAAAAAGAAAGAAAGAAAGAAAGAAAGTATTTTCTAATGCAGCGCCAGTAACAAAAACATTTAAAGCCTTTTCCGTCCTCATAACAAGTGTTTAATGATGCCAGATGCTGCGTGACTATTCTCCCGTTTGGTTTAGGGACAGAGGGAGAGATAAAGACTCCGGTTTACTTTGAACACAAATGACTCATAGTGCCAGAAAATGGTGTCGTCTCAAGATTTTTGTATGCAGATTCTGTATTGAATTATAGACTCTAACTACAATGTGGCGGTGCGAGTGGAGAATAAGGATTTGCGGTAGTCATTGTGCATTTTTAATTTAGTGAAATCAGAGTGGGGACCTTTCTGGAATCCTTTCAAGGACCCCTGAAGGTGGACTTTAGTTTCTGCTTTAGAAAAACCTACATTACCCCAATCACGAGGGCCCAGAGCAGCACTGTTTATTTATTTCTTTATTTCAATGTGGAAAGCAGCTGCTCGCTTGAAGATCTCTCAAACGCCCCGACTCCTCCAAACCTCCCCCTCCCTCCTGACTCCCCATGGCTTTTATTATTTTGTGTTTTCTTCAAACCCACCTCCCCGGTTTCGGTTTGTCGCCACCACCACTGATTGGACCTTCGTGCGGCTGCCGCCATCCATGTTTAACCCCATCATGCCTCCCCACACACAGACCTAATCCGCCAGTAAAACTAATCCTTAATCCTCTCTGGCAAGTTGAACCCCTCCATCCTTCCTCCCTCCCTCCCCTTGGATCCTGATTCCTAAACGGGCCTGATGCATGGGACGTCACAACTATACAGCGACTCTTTGATAAAGTTTATGGCCTGAGTATTTGCAAACTGGCCATTCCTAGGAGTATAAACATTATGATGTATAGATCTGGAGGGTTGTTACACAAATTTATAGGTGATAAAAGATAAAGAAAGTTACAATGAAGTCGGTGTTAAACGCACGGTTGAGCAGTAGAGACAAAAAAAAAGTCCCACAACTCCAAGGACTCAGTGAAACCATTACCATATTGCAAATGATCAGGCCTACGGGAAATAGCACTGGGCCAAACTGTAAGATAGGAGTAATGGCTTCATAATATCGATGATAAGACACAATATAAGTCATTGAGAACCGTGACAGTCAACTTCTGGTGACCCCCGCTTCTTCATCTGTGGATATGTAGGACTAATCCTGTGATAGAATTCCAGCAGGACATTAGACCTACTCAATATCAAACCTTAAGATAAGGTATCACGGGGCGTCCTACAGTCATGTGCTGCCACGGGGGCGAATGAAATACCATACAGCCCCGATAAGGTCAGGGTTAGACTCGCCGTGGAGCGTTTTAGGAACATTAGGCTGATTTTTCGGTATGGTGAGATGATCGCACTCCTCTATCTCCTCCATCTCCTCCGTGTTGCTCTCAGCCAGTAGGCCCCTGCTCTGGCCCTGTTATCCCAGTGGTACGGGCCAAATCGTATTAAAATCCCCTCCCTCCCTGCCTTGTCCCCTCCCCTCCCTCTCGTCTTTCAGACAGACTGTTTTTGCTGCAGTGAACGGTAGCCGTGGAGAGGCAGAGAGAGAGAGAGAGAGAGAGAGAGAGAGAGAGCGAGAGAGAGCGAGAGAGAGAGAGAGAGAGCGATACAAACAGAGTGAGAGAGAGAAAGAGAGGGAGAGAGAGGGAGAGAGAGCGGAGGAAAAAGCAAGAAAAACAAGGAGTCAGGCGAAGGAACAAGGAGATAAAAAAGTCGATAAAAGCAGATTGAGAGGAGGCTCCGGACAAGCGACTGCTGCGCATCAAAGGAGGGACCTTACTGGGGACCTTATTGGAGACCAGCGCCAACAAAACCCGACTCCGGAGGCGGAATATAACGGTGTGTGTGTGTGTTTGTGTGTGTGTGTGTGTGTGTGTGTGTGTGTGTGTGTGTGTGTGTGTGTGTGTGTGTGTGTGTGTGTGTGTGTGTGTGTGTGTGTGTGTGTGTGTGTGTGTGTGTGTGTGTGTGTGTGTGTGTGTGTGTGTGTGTGTGTGTGTGTGTGTGTGTGTGTGAGAGAGAGAGTGTGTGTGTGTGGTTATTTCCGTGCATTGCCTCTCAGTTTGTGTTATTGTCCAGGGTTTGGCTGTAGCCTGTAGGGCGGACAGGAGACACCTGTCAGTGCTGACGCTTTTCCGTCTCCAGGAATGTGTCTGTGTGCGCACTCTGGGTAGGTGGCTGGGTGTGTGTGTGTGTTTGTGTGTGTGTGTGTGTGTGTGTGTGTGTGTGTGTGTGTGTGTGTGTGTGTGTGTGTGTGTGTGTGTGTGTGTGTGTGTGTGTAATCCGTTATGCCAGCCCAGGGAGAGAGCTGTATAATCCCTGCGTGTTTTATAATTTACTCTGAATATGCGTTTTGTAGTCGGGCTGCCTGTGCTGCTTTACCCGACTCTCTCACTCCCCCCTTCCTCTTCTCTCTCAGCTCTGTTGGCTTTATCGCTCTGCGAAAAAAAAAAAAGCATTACAACTGCGCGCTGTGTGCAGCAGCCACCTCTCTCCAGCATTCACAAGAGTCTCTAAATCTCATCCCATCAGTGTCAGATATTTCTGCAAGTGCTGGAGACGGCGTTGGAAAACACGCTCCGAACTGAGAAACATCGCTCTGGTGCTCCCGCGCCCCGTCGCAGTGATGCAGGCAGCCACCACGAGCTGTTATTATTGTTATTATTATCATTGTTACCAACTGTCGTTAGCCTGCTGTCCACGTTATGGAGCAGATCGCAAAGAACTTGTGCTAAATCTCGCCCAGAGTGTCCGGGTTATTTCCCATGGATGCACTTCTTCTAATTTTGTTTTCATTTCTCGCCATCACTCAACAGGAAGGGCTGGAGCAACAATAAACACAGCCCCCCCCCCCCCCCCACACACACACTACCACCCCTCCCAGTGCCCACATCCCTTCCCCATCCCATGTCCCCCACCCCTCTCCTTCATCCCACCCTATGTCCCCGCCCTAACCGCCCGCCGTCCCGCAAGCAACACTCCGCGTCCACGGCTCCCTCTCAGGGGTGACAATAAGGGAGCGTTCCGCAGATGGACCGAGGGCTCACCTCGGCGCAGGATACTGCTATTTTAAGGAATGTGCGTTAGAGAAAGAGAGAGAGAGAGAGAGGAGAAAGGAGAGTGTGTGTGGGTGTGTGTGGGTGTGTGTGTGTGTGTGTGTGTGTGTGTGTGTGTGTGTGTGTGAGAGAGAGAGAGAGAGAGAGAGAGAGAGAGAGAGAGAGAGAGAGAGAGAGAGAGAGAGCCTGAGCGGCTATTATGCACGTCCGTCCGTCTCCAGTCTTGTGCAAAGCGCGCCGTGTATTCTCAGCGGGCGACAGGTGCATCTCCCCGCCGCTGTGTGTTGTTTCCTTTCTTCTTCTCAGTTTTTTCATGAGCAGCTGGGGGAATGTTCCTTTGCGTTATTTCTAATTAGCGTGAGTTTAGTTGGTGGCTCGGTTATGGGCTGTCCAAAAACACTCGTCTTCCTTCACTCCACAGCTTGTTAGAGTAGATGAATAAACTCACATTTAAATCCACCCCCCCCCCACCCCCATTACCATCAATACGCCACCACCATCACTATCATCTTCTCTGCTGTTTGGCCCTATCGCTATCCCTCCTCCTCCCCTTACCCCCGCCTCCCTCAATTTCTCAGTATGGCATGACACAAGCAGATCGATGAATACCCATGGAGCAACGCGTGAGTAACGGGTGTGCCAAGCGTTTATTCAGCAGCAGCCAACCAATGGCAGGGGACACAATTAGTGGCCAGTCGGCATGCCCTGCTTGTTTTCTTTATCTCTCTGCTGCTCTCTCTGCAGGTGACTCTCCAGAGCTCCTCTGCCCTCCTGAGGATTCAGAGAGACAGGCGGATCTGCGCGCCCGACCATGGCCTTCCCATCAGCCCCCTCCGCATTATGGAGTGTCAGCGTATTGACAGTACTATTCACAGCTGCGGTTCACAGCAACATTGTCTATGGTAAGCACCTCTCTCACTCTTTATCTACTCGCCTCCTATTCTCTCTATCTCGCTGTCTCTCCGTGGGCCCCTGACCTCCCCGACCCTCTCTTTCTGTCTCTGGTGGCGCCCCTTATCTGTTGACTTGGGGCCTTTTTGTTGTTTCCTGTATTATGACAAGGGAATCACAGAGCCGTTAATAAGCACATGGGACACTCCCACCTACCCCGGACCCCAGTGGAATTTCTGCCGTTGTTTTTGAGGAATGTGTGTGACTCGCACATGGCCACGAGGCCACACAAACACGTGCTTACTACAGGTCCTTGCTGCTGTAGCTCGTTTGCCCTGTGGCCTCCTTTTCTCTGTCTCTTTTTCTCTCCATGACATCTTCAGTCAGTTGAATGCACTCACATAAGAAGTACAAAAGCTGGCGCACACACACACACACACACACACACACACACACGCACACACCGGCACTCCACCTTTCATGTTCACCTGCTCCACTTCTCTCTCTGCCTGTCTCACATGTGTGCAGACAAGATCTGTGTCAGAGGTTCATGAAACCTGGACACAAGCAGTATTCATCTTGTACTTTCCTAAATAGCAACAGGGGAGTGTGCACACTTACAGCACACACATACAGTACAGACACACGACACTCGTCATGGCTGAACCTGTGATGAGTCGGGTGCAGCTGAAAGCGGATGGAAGAGGGGATTTGATGACAGAAGCACTTTGTAATGATATCATCCCTGCTGTGAGCACCGAGTGAACAGGAATACACTGTCCAACGTGCTCTCCCAATTACATAACACTCAAGTGACTGCCTGCTGGTAATACAACCTTTAGAGGGCAAATTGTGCCGGTGGCAAAATGGAGCATCATGATTGGCCCTTAATCCATAAAAAATTGATTGACACAGGTAGAATGCTGTTGGCATTTTCTCATTACAGTAGTGATTTAATTGCACAGAGTGTTTGGCGAAGAACCATAAGATGATATAGCAGGCAAGAAAGCTTCTAATAGACTTTCCCTGATTTGCATTTGCAATATATATTCTCATAGATCCCTCGCTTGTGCACACCCACACAATTTCACAAATCTGAATACATCCATGAGTGCACGGGGAATGTTCGCGCATGTGTCCATGCGCAGCATCCACGTGTATGCGCACAGATATGCAAGCGCACGCACCACACTTACTGTACTTCCACTTCGTTTATCCACATCAGCTGTTTCTACTTTCTGTTGAATTATGCATACTTGTGTTTCTGCATGTTTGTGTATGAAGTGTGGGGAAGTGGAGAATTGTCAGTGTGAGAGCACAGTGGTCAGAGCAGTAAAGAGTGAGAAACAATCTGCCTGTGCCAAGACGCTGGGATGAGGTCACTGCTAAACAAATGCAAATAGAGGCCTGTCAGGCCCCTGAAAGCTGTTGAAGATGAGAAATGCACAATCTCCAGATTGAGGTGCTGATGATGAAATATCAATCGCTCATCAGAGTACTGACCCCGACTGTGTAGCTCGTCATTGAAACGCAGACAGCGGTTTGTTATTTGGGTCCGAAAGCGATTTTGGCTCGCGTTCAGACACGCGTCACATTTGATTAAGGTGTGCCTAGCGGGAGGCCTGACCATGCATGACCAATTCTTGCTTTGGTTTCACCTAAGCGCTGTTTTACATTATCATGTCAGTCAAGGAGAGTAATTAAGCCTGGGACGTCTGACAGTGTTCAGGAGATGAGAAAACACGTCAAAGAGTACAATTGAGAGGAGAGCCGAAGCGGGGACGGAGTGCTGACTTAAGAGACTGTCAGTGTGAAAGTTGTAAACCATTACTTTGTGCTCAAGGTCTTTTTGTCATTCATTTTTGCTATCAAAGCATCATCAAACGCTAACACTAACTACACTGAAATAAAACTAAGAGCGATTCTGCATTAAAATTAAGAGCTTTTGTCAAAAAAATTCTTGGCCTATTTGTGCTACAGAGGAAAACATTTGTCAGGCTCAAAATACATGATTTCATCAAGAAAAGTACAGGAATGTATCTTGTTGGCAGTGGTGCAAGAAATACTGACAATTTATAGACTTTCTCACAGGAAAACAAGGAACTGAGCTCTCATGGGACCTCACACACAGCACCAAGAACGGTGCCAAAAATTCAGCAGCCAGGAAACTATATGTATGAATCTTCAGTTCACACATCCTACAGTTTCCAGACATTTGAGCAATGTGGCAAACAGTGGAGTTGCAGCTTCAGAGTGTAGTGTAGTGTGTAGGCTGCAGAGCACTGGTCCATCACTCACATCTGTCCCGATCTGTCCTGATTGGTGTTGTTGTGACACAGCAGGCAGAGCTGTTAAGTAGAAGATGGAGTGGGGGCGGGGTGGGCAGTCAGATAATGCTGTCATAATGGAGATCTCCACGCAAAGAGCCCCCTGGAACAGAAGGGTCTACTTAGCATAAATAATTCAATGTTATGTATCAGAGAGGAAAAACGATTAGCTCAGCAAATCAATGCGAGAGCAGATGAGCCATCAGAGAGCAGGGCTGCCCATCACTGCTACACTCAGGACCCACAGCGAATTGAAAACATTCATACTGTTTGGCTCTTTGAGACAAAAATCTTCCACCATGAGGTTGATTATTACAGCAACCAACAGGCTGCATATCATGACCGTTTAGATTCCTGACCAACCCTGGGCACCCAGCTCTTCCACCTCCGCTGCCTCACCTTCATTTGACTTATGTTAAAGTCAGGGAGAGGACATCACTAACTCTTGTTTTTTTTTCTGGATTTGCCAGTGACCAGGCTTCCTTAGAGCGAGTGAACGAATCAGGGAGACACTAATTGCACACCAATTGACATATCCATTTCCACAGCTGGATGTGCAGCCATGCAGCGCGGATGGAAAGTGCCTCTCGGAAGGGCACGGATTAGGCATGCTATTGGCCGGCTGTACCCTGGTTCTGTACAGCTGACCCAGTTACCTCGGGGCTGTTGTGGAGTGTGTAGGGTCCGTCTGCCAGGCCGCTCTGTAGACAGCGAGTAGAGCAGCGTGCAGTGGCCTCCCATCAGCCACCTGGCCCTCAACTCCACAGCAGCCTGATCCCACACCCCAGGAGAATGTTTGCATTCGTGACTAGAAACATGCCTAATAGTTTATTTACCTCAACGAGTTCTGCTGATCGGGACAAGCGAATGAAGCCCGATGCTTCCAGCTGAGGCCAATAATGAGTAAGGATTAAAGGATGGGAGCAGTGTAGACCAATCGTAGTGCGGTAAGATTTACAGGCGGGAGGGCTCCGCATGTGTGTGTGGCTCTGCCAGCGGTTCACTTTATCCTGCCACAAAATGGGCTCCTTCCCCCCCTAGACCAGCTCTTTCTCGCTGGCTCGATGCCCACTTCCTGTGTGTGCTGCTGTTGTTTGCTGTTGACTTCCTGTGTGCCAAGATGGGGGAGCGTTTGGCTAATACACAGTACGGCTAGCACACAATAGCAGTAGGCGGTTTGGATGGGAGGCCTCTGCCTGTTAACAAGGCTGACTGATAAGCAGTGACTCATTAACAAGCCGAGGTACACAGAGCCTGGGGGAATTACCGCCTAGCCACTGTGACATTAATAAGAGGCCTAAGCTATTTTTCCATTTGGCTCTGCTGGCAGAGGGCTAAACCAGTGGTTTCCAATCTCGACCCTGGCTATTTACTGGCTCCAGTGCTTTTCCATTTGTTTCAGCCACTGGTTACCTGGTCTGATTGGAATGCGCTGGATCAGTATTGTCAGTGTGGGCTGCAGTTAATGACATCTGCTGCTTCAATGGAGAACCAGACTCCCCTCATTAGTTTTCTGCAGGTTCATTCAGAAACATCTGGGGAGGAGCCCAATTAATTCTTCTCATGCTGATCATGCCAATTAATTAACAATATGTTTGTTTTTAGAAAGAAGAAAGACAGTGACATATACCAACGTATAGCCTAGTTTTCAATTATTGAGACTGATGATGATTCTGATATTATATAGATTCAGCTAGGTGCCTGACATACAGTCAGCACTATGCAGAAGAGTTCCAAGTAACTGTCTCCTATCACAATTTTAAATCCAAAGCCATATTACTCTCATTGTCTTGTGTTTATTCTTCTCTGATCCTTTAAGTGTTTTGTCGTCCAGATCAGTTTTGTGATTATAAATTGGATCCTGATTGGCTGGCATTAGTTTGAAACAGATTTACATCTGGCAGAAAACCAATTATTTCTGCTGTTCATCATGCCGATTAATTAAGGCGCTGCGGCTGATTGATTAAACTCCCAACAAAGCTCAAACCACGAGCACCGGACCCCTGGGGATGATTTGCATCACACATTATGCACATTGCTGTGTCTTCATGTTATCTTCATATATCTCCTCAGACATGCTGAAACATTACACATGAGTAAGCGACAGGAAGAGAAACTCACAGCTCAACAAGGCGTAAGTGTTGATAAGTAATTTGTGGCTAAATTAAGCAGAATTAAAATGCAGTGGCACACCAGTATCATTGGATCTTAAAGGTATCAGGAGCACCCAAACAAGACTCCATTAGACCTCATCAATCTGAGGCAGATCTCATCCACCCAGGCCCACTCAAGCAGTGTGAGATTACATCAGAGCAGATCAATCTTGCTCGCTACCATCATAATAACAGCAAATGCCATTTAGAGACTGAAAGAGAGAAGGGCTCTTGAGATTTTGCAAAGCCTTATCACACTCAGCTTCCTCTCAGGTGCTCTTAAAAGACACATCACTCCGCAGCAGCTCAGGGTCAAGAAAATTAGGGGTCCTGCATTTTCTGAGCTGTCAGCCTTAGACCATCACTTCACAAAGACACAGCAGATTAAACAAACCTAACAACAACAACAACAGCAACGGCGCCAGCCTTGGAATAAATTAATTCACCTCGTTTCCAGCAAGATCCCTTATTATTGTGCTCTGCACTGAACTGGCTTTTCCTTTGATCAGGTCCCTCACTCTCACCGCCCCC